CCTCCTCAATGCCCATCACCCACTTTCCCCTCCCTCCCACCCACTATCAACCTTAAGTTTATTCTCAGTTCTTAAGAGTCTCTTATGGTTTGCCTCCCTCCATGAGTTCTTTCAGAGAGTCACTTTAAGCTCTCCGGCTGGAACGGTAGAATTGGCTCTACAACTGTGGCAAATTCAGCATGGCCACCCAGCCAAGAGAAAGGAAGCGGGCCATGGAATCCTGCCTTTTATGGATGGAATCAGATTTCCTGTTAAGTCCAGACCTAGAATTGTCTCACTCCTAAGTCTCTTTAGTTACTCTTGCTGAGCATGTGCTCTACAAAGGCAAGAGACCAGAGCTGGAACGTGCCAGCCCATGGCATGTGCCCATGCCAGGCACTGCTCAGGCTCTAGTGATGTGAGCAAAATGGGAATTGAGCCACACCACAGTCTGCTTTCTCAGTTCAATGGTTTATCGTGCTCTCCACCTCCCATCCCTTGATGTGGAAAAGCTTTGGGCAGGGCTCAGATTTGGGTCAAGCATTCAGTGCCTTGACCGCATCCTCTCTGCTAGTAATAACATGGCCTCAGCAAGTCCATCCTGCCCCTATCCTCCCACCAACTGGTCTCCTCCTCCCCCAACAGCTGGTTCTTATCTGTCTCCCTTGTTCCAGCCTCAGGCATGCTGCCCTGGCCTCATGCTGACACACACATGTTCTCCTGAATGCTCATTGATGAGTTTCAGCCCTGAAATGCTGCCTTCTTCCCATCCTCCCCTTCCCATCCCCAAACCTCGAGGGTTCCCTATTTGCTACTATATCAAGTCTTCAACTTCCTTCCTTGCTTTTCAGGCCCACCTCAATTGGGGCCCACTCAGCCTTTCCAGTGTGGGCCGTGACTCCCCCCAGACATGAACAGAATGTTAGAATTTCACAAACCCTCCACAGCCAACCCTTTCTTTGTGTTCCTGCACTACTTAGGCTCTGTTCTGGATCTGTGCTGTTTGCTCTGCTTTTGGGTACATTCGTCTTGAAAGCGAGGTCCACATTTTAGACTTCTTTGTTAATCCTCAACACCCCAGCACTATTTTTTAAACTATTGTTCTTTTTATTTTTAGATATAGATAGATAGACATAGATATAGATAGATAGATAATTTATTTTTCTTTTTAGTTTCATATATACATACATAGTAAAAGTTTACAAGGGTAACAAATAAACAGAATCATTGTAAACAAAATTCCAACTACGGGAGGTAAGGGCCTAAAGAATGAAAGTTCATGCCCTGCTCCATCATTCCCAGAAACAAGTTCCTTAAGCAGTCTAGAGCCCAGCACCCAGTAGAGGTTATATGTTGGGTGCTAGAGAAGGTCAAGTGGTGGGTGGTGCCCCCAGAAAATTGCATCTTTAGGAAAAGAGATGTACTTCTTTGTACTTCTTTGCAAGAGTCCTTGGTCTTTGTGGGCCTGATTGACACTGGAAATTTTACTCCAAAGGCCCCACACAGCTGGTGACCACTTGCATCTCCAGTACGTGACTGTAGCCACTCCAGAAAGCATCTGTCCTGTTTCCAGCCTTTTAAAAAGTAACCATTGAAGGTGAATATTAAAGGGCATGTTTAATGGGCTTTTCTGAGTTTTTCACAGGTCTGTAGGAAATTGCAGACAGTCAGTAAAAGGGTGGGAAGCGTTCATGAAAATAAGCTTTCTATCTGGTATGGTGTTGCGTTCTCTGAGAGGTAATGCATGTTACTAATGGTTTTCGTCTTTCTGCCAAGAAAATTCAGTCCCTACTGGGATTTATTCTAAATGATAGACTAGCCCGCCTGTGCTGCACCCACTGGGGTTAATTCTCTGTCTCGGTCAGCTTTGAAATGTCAGCCTGAACTTTCAGACTTAATTGTTACAGACACTTTATAACTAAAGCATTCAAAATATTAAAGCTTCTCCCTCTTGCTATTATAATTAATACTTAATGGATATTTTCAGGCTTCTTGAATTTTACACATTCAACAGTCTACAGATAGTGGGTTGAAGGGAAGGAGATATATAGAAAGGGAACAAATAAATAATGTGTGTGTGTGTGTGTGTGTGTTTCCTGTAAGCATCTGTTTCCAGTTGCAGTGATGGGGTCCTGGGATCTGCCAATAAAGGTGGGCTTTGACAGGTTGGTCAGCCCATGGGTTTCTGGGTTCTCCCCTCTCTGGACCCCCGAGGCAGTGTTCTTTAGACATTGCCATTTCTGGACTTCACTGCAAGTATGTGGTTGGCCACTTGAATGGGAGTTATAAAATGTCACGATGTTCTCCAGCATTCTGTTCTTTCACTATTTTGACAATCTGATGGATGCCCTGGCATTAACTAGGAAGAGGACAATATTATCCCGCCTGAATAACTAATCTCCTAAGAAGTACAAAGTTAAAGGATCTTGGTGCACGTGAATCTTATTAAATGTGCTTATAAAATATGTTCTATCCAAATAAGCTTAGCAGCCCCTAAAATAGCCTTTTCTGATCCGTGTCTGGAACTTTGGTATGCTTCACAGATCTCTAAGCCAAAATTGTTTAGTGAAGAGATGACAGTATTCTCTGTGTATGGGAAAATGAGAAGCGTTGATGTTAAGTACTCTATTGACTAAGTGCACTCCTTCTCTCCATCTTAGGGGCGACCAGGACCAATTGGAATTCAAGGTCCAACAGGTCCTCAAGGATTTGCTGGCCCTAGTGGCTTATCAGGGTTGAAAGGAGAAAGGGGCTCCCCAGGTCCCCTGGGACCATATGGACCAAAAGGAGATAAGGTAAAAACACCAGAGCTTGATTTTTCTTTGACTGATGAACCATAGGTATGAAGGTGAAAAGTTCTAAATCTCAGTTCTGTTCGTTTATGGAAATAATACTAATCCTGAGTACCTTGGTGCCAGGCTGTGTGATATGCTGCTAATAGATCAACCTATTTCCAGAGAGACTCCTATGGCAAGCAAGCCATAAAGTGCATGTATTGGCTACTTGCTAGACACGTGAGCTTGCTGGGGTGGGAATTCATGTGGGTTTGGAGTGGGCATGGGTCAGAAGTTCAATCAGATGGGCAATAGAGGTCAGGAATCCAGGCAAGGAGACTGGGAAGCAGGATGTCGGAATGCTTGGAAGCAATCTGGGCTACAAATGTAGGGAAAGAGATGCAAGAAAGGAGATTGATCATGTTGTGGTAGCTGGCTGAGTTTAGCAACTTAGTTTATGTTCCCTTCAGATTTTAATCACCTCCTCTTTGCCCCATTGGTAAGGGAGGGATTCCCAGCCTAGGGTTCTGAGGATGGCAGAAGACATGACACCTGATACTGGACAGAAAACATTGACAGTAGGTTTATTACTCACATATGCTCACAGCGCAGGGTGAAAGGACACCACACACCATACAGGGCCACACGGGGGAGGCAGACTTTGTAGTGGCAAAAGGGTGAGGTGCCCCTTGGCTCCTGAGGGAGGCTTGTTTGAATAATACAGTGGGTCATCAAGGAACTGAAACCAGACTCAGGGATAAGCAGGAACTGTACCTGCTCTGTTTGATAAGGAGGGCCATTTGCCTAGGAGACCTCATCTAGGGGAGCAGAGTGATGGGGAACTTGTGGTTAGGCCTTTTGAGGCCCTCCACCCCAGTTTTCCCAGTTTCAAAGCAACATGTCATACTGAGCCATCATTTTAGGTTTTGCACCACATTGCTTAAGATAAAAACTGGTCTCAGAACACAGACATGTTTAAGACCTTAGGTAGAGGCAAGGTGACACAATGTGGAGAGTGAGGTATAAAACACTTCTAAAAACTTAGGTCACGAGGGGCGCCTGGGTGGCTTGGTCGGTTAAGCGTCCGACTTCGGCTCAGGTCATGATCTCACGGACCGTGAGTTTGAGCCCCGCATTGAGCTCTGTGCTGACAGCTCAGAGCCTGGAGCCTGTTTCAGATTCTGTGTCTCCCTCTCTCTCTGACCCTCCCCCGTTCATGCTCTGTCTCTCTCTGTCTCAAAAATAAATAAACGTTAAAAAAATTTTTTTTAAAAACTTAGGTCACGAATCACATGAACAAACGCACCAAATCTAATGGACATCAGTTGGATTGTCTCTTACATTCCACTTCCTACTCCTTTTATTCTAGGGTCCCATGGGAGTTCCTGGCTTTCTTGGCATCAATGGGATTCCGGTGAGTGTGTCCACAGAGGTATTTTTTTTTATTACCACTTCTAGGTTGTGCTTCAGAGGTCAAACATCTTAGCCTTAGCAACATCCTGTGGCATGCAAGCATTCTCTGGGTCAAGTGTTGAGATGCACGTGATAAGGTTTGAAGAGAGGTGGTCACAAACACTTTCCCTGGGATTTAGTTACAGGTAGCACTAAATCAGATGGTTGGGACAGGTGCAGGCATAAGAAACCATCAATACCTTAGCCAAAATGGGTTAGGTTTCATGAGCTGAGGGGAGTTTTAATTAGGGATGAGGGACTGGTTCTGAAGTGCGGAGACAGTGCCGCATTCAGAGCACATACGTACTCATTATAAGAAAATTATGAAGACATGTGATATTAGATAGAAAAATACTTAGAGATATCTTGATACATTTCGTTCCAGTAATTTGTTCTCTTCCACCTTACCTCATTACAGAGTGAATTTCCCTTTAGTTTTTACAAAGCGACCATTCCAAAGATCACTTGCAGGCAGCCCCTTCCCTTTATCCCGAAACCTGGTTTTGCTGGAGATGAGTGAGGAATCTGGAGCTCACAGATGTCTCCTTTTCTCATTACATCCAGTCCAACCCCTTAGGTTCTCGATTTTCACGCTGTATCCCTACTTATCTCACCACTGGAGAATCCATGATAAATAACATTTCGCCAGCCTTGAAAATACAGTATTTGCAACTTGGCTTCTATCAATTTTTAGTTATGTCTTTTGGCACATCTCTATATACTACATCTTTAGCCTGAGCTGTGTTTTTCTATAGCAGAGCTCTTCAATCTTGTTTAAGAGAAGACCCAAATGTTGTGTGGAAGCTCGGAGTACAGATCAGGAAGAAATAGAGCTTCTTCATTTCAGGGACATGTTAGAGCCTGCTTTTATCCTTTCAGCCTTGAAGGGGTTCTTCTGAGCCATATCTAAGCACAGTTTGGCAAATCCTAGACTTAACAGCTTTTTGTGTGATACTGCATAACCATCTAGTATCAAGGAAGGGGTCTTAAATCTCTTTGTGACAATCTCTAGGTATTTCTTGGGTGCCGGCTAGGTGCTATGACTCTACTATGGGGATACAGAAAAAACTTATGGATCTACACTCAAAGACATTATCATTTGATCCATTTTCTTCCAAGATCTAGCATACATTTGGAGTTGGAGGACAGAAGTCTTGCTTCCTTGTATTTGTTCTATGTATCAACAAATAAGCCATCAGAATTTTGCATTTTATTCAACTGCAGACTCTGAAAAATGCCCAGAAATGGGCCAGCGGGCAAATAAGAGGATGGGGTTGGCTGTCCTTTTATAACATCCTCTGGCATTTTATCCTGACTGTGTTCCCATCTGTGCTTTATCCAGAGCCTCCACTCAGACTGTGTATCTTCTGGGAGCCACTAGGTGAGGAAAACTAGAAAGCTGGAGATCACCTCTTGCATTCCTCCTGCGGAGCTGGCTTCCACTGGAGATGAGTGGGGGATTTGAAGCTTGCAGCAGTACTATGCCCTTCCTCCTTTAGTCTCTTTCTAATGGGGGGCTGGAAGGAAGTGAATCCTGTGACGCAAAGGCTGATTCCAATTCTGGACTAGAACATGCCCTAGGGTCCAGCTGGACACTTCTGCCTCCAACTTGTGGCCAAGAAAGCCATAGACTTTGCAGGGATTGATCATTTCTCGTTGGGGCTTCATTGCTTGGGAGAATGAGTTACAGGTGTCCAGATTCCTCCAAATTAATGTGCCACTCCCAATAGAGGTCCCCACTCACTCAGCCCTTCCCTTGACCAAAGGCTCTATGTGTTTTCTTTTGACTGATTGCATTACTTTCAGGCTCCAAGCCTCTCTCACTCCATGAAATGATTTTTTCCTTGTTCCTTCCCTCTCTTCCATCTATTCGAGATGTATTTACTGAGCATCTTCTGTCCACTGCCTACCTCTCCCTTCCATCTCTAGTGTCTTAGGAGTCCTTGGTGTCTATTCCATACACCCTAGCTCCTTATTACATATGGCCCACAGTATTTATTATTTGTCTTGTGTAATGGTCTTATCTAGCTTTCTTGAAAGCACAGAATAGGTCTTCTGCTCCACTCAGAAGCCTCAGAGACCCCAGGGCTGAATTCACCATGTACTAAGAACACTAGGAACACCAGAGGGGTGGTTGGGTGGCTCAGTCAGTTAAGTGTCTGGCTGACAGCTCAGAGCCTGGAGCCTGCTTTGGATTCGTGTCTCGGTCTCTCTTTCTGCTCCTCCCCTGCTCTCTCTCTCTCTCTCTCTCTCTGTCTCTCTCTCTGTCTCTCTCTCTCTCTCTCAAAAATAAATAAACATTAAAAACATTTAAAAAAAGAAATACTTGGGGGACTGATTCCAACTTCTAGTGCCTACAAAAGCAACAGTTCTCAGACTGGCAGGACTCCCACAGACACAGGAAAACACAGACACCCTTGGCCTAGTCAGACTAATTATTTTGCTCTACTTTTGGCAGCTAAAACCAACAGCTTCCCCAACACATCTTACTAAACTGGATTACTGCACAAATCTGATTCCCGTGTAACATACGTGTTACTGGTTTTAGTCTCCAAACTCTGTTTTTGCGTCATGTAGATAGTTTCAACATAAGTGAGCAAGTATTCATTGTATGATCATCCAAGTCTGTGCATCAAGGGCCACAGCAATCATTCAGGGGAATGAACAAACATGGGGTGCCTGGGTGGTTCAGTCGGTTAAGCATCCGACTTCGGCTCAGGTCATGATCTCACAGTCTGTAAGTTCGAGCCCCGTGTCGGACTCTGTGCTGACAGCTCAGAGCCTGGAGCCTGTTTCAGATTCTGTGTCTCCCTCTCTCTAACCCTCCCCCATTCATGCTCTGTCTCTCTCTGTCTCAAAAATAAATAAACGTTAAAAGACATTTTAAAGATATTCAACATTAGCACAACATAGACCAGGGGTGGTTTTTTATAATATCACAGCTGTAAGTTGGGGCTGTTGGCACCCACAAGAAATGTACGTTTATCAAATGTTTTCAGTTCTTGGGGCACCTCTGTGGCTCCGTTGATTAAGCCTCCAACTCTTGATTTTGGCTCAGGTCATGATCTTATGGTTCATGGGTTCAAGCCCCACATCGGGCTCTGTGCTAACAGCATGGAACCTGATTGGGTTTCTCTCTCTCCCTCTCTCCCTGCCCCTCTCCTGCTCACTCTCTCTCTGTCTCTCAAAAATAAATAAATAAACATCAAATGTTTTCATTTCAAATAAGTCTGGAGAAGAAATTTTCAAGTTGTCCTTTGCAATTTATGTTTAGCTTTTCTCATGAAGTTAATCTCAAACATTTTCCTTCCTAAAGACTAGTAAATGAACATATCAGATTTATACCTTCAAAGTGAGCACATACTCAACAAATGGAAATTTTCCCTTTGAAGTCTGGGCTCTGAGGAACATGGCTTTTCTGGATTACAGCACATCTTCTTATTCTGTGCATTCAGTCCCTTGCGTTTATATAGAAACATGGTTTCCTCCCTCAAAAAGCTACATGCTCTTAGAGAGCTGGCACACATGTATATAAAAGCATTAACTAACACTAGAAAAGGCAAAGTGCCATAAATGCTGTGGTTCTACTGAGAATTGAAAAGTGATTGTGTATTTCATTTTAATGTTGGCAACAACCCTATGAGGTAGTATTATTCATCTCCATTTCACAGATTGTGAAACTTAGACTCAAGCTGGGGAGTGGCAAAGTTGGGATTGGAACACAAACTCAAAATTCAAAACTGACTCAAAACATTCTTTAGCTGTCATCTCATGGTATCACCTGGACCGGAAGGGTCTGACAGGTCAAAGTCAAATGTCAGAGGTGAATTCCAGAGAATTCAGCTAAGGTAGGAAAGAGTGAGCAAGTACTCCTGGAATCCTGCAGGTGGAAGATACTAGGAATTCAGGCAAGAAAACTGCAGGAATATTGGAGCCCCAGTAAAAATACTGTGGATACCAAGGGATAAGAAGCCAGGCAAAGGTTTTGGTGTCAAACAGAACCAAGGCCCCAGGAGTAAAAATGGTCCCCAATACTGAGCCAGCCTCTGTCTTGCCTTAACTCATTCCTGTTACCCAGCTGAGAGATAACCTCTAGCAAGTTGGGATGGGACATATTTTTTTTCTTCAAATTTTTTATTTAATTTGTTCTTAGTTAACATATAGTGTAATATTGTTTTTGGGAGTAGAATTTAGTGATTCATCATTTACCTATAGCACCCAATGCTCAACATTACAAGTGCCCTCCTTAATATCCATCACTCATTTAGTCCCTCCCCCCTGAGCCTCCATCCATCAACTCTCAGTTTGTTCTCTATCATACAGAGTCTCTTATGGTTTGTTTCCCTTTCTTTTTTTTTTCCCTCCTTCCCACATTTGTTTTGCTCCTTAAATTCCACATGAGTGAAATATATGTTATTTATCCTTCTCTAACTGACTTATTTCACTTAGCATAATACATTCTAGTTCCATCCACATTGTTGCAAATGGCAAGATTTCATTCTTTTTGATGGCTGAGTAATATTCCATTATATACCCCATATTCTTTATCCACTCATCAGTCGATGGACATTTGGGTTCTTTCCATAGTTTGGCTGTTGTTGACAATGCAAAGGGGCACATGTACCCCTTTGAATCTGTATTATCTTTATCCTTTAGATAAATACCTAGTAGTGCAGTTGCTGAATCGTAGGGTAGTTCTATTTTTAACTTTTTGAGGAACCTCCATACTGTTCTCCAGAGTGGCTGCGCCAGTTTGAATTCTGGCTGGGACATTTTAAAGTGGTGATCAGGATTGTAGGAAGAAATAGACAATCCACCTGAAAGGGTTGATTGAAGAGAGTTGCATGAAGGGATGTAGACATGATTCAGGGGAACAACAATGGATTGTAAAGTAACTAATATCACTTTTGCCACCCCTTGGCCCAAGGGGGAAAGAAAGAATGGTAATACTAAGAACCCTCT